GCTTGTGTGGGATACTGTCAGTGGTGGTAAGCTCACACATTTCTTTCCGATTGTCGCAATTATGCATTACCTGTTTGCAGAACTACAATCGACCGTACAATTTGATCCCGGATTTACTGCCACAACGATCCTGCATCCCGCCACTTATCTCAACAAAGTGCTAGTAGCTAGCAATCAGGGAAGCATGCAGCTTTGGAACATCCGAACACAGTTGGTGAACATTGTAGCACCTTAATGATTAGGCTGACCGAAAGGATTATGAACAGAACACGCATTCACCATTTCTCCCTCGAAACGCTCCTGACTTTGTCGTCACATCCGCTTGATGCGCCAATCGTGGCTGTGACGGCCTTGGTACAATCTCCTGCTATCGATGTAGTTGGCGTCGGTTTCTCGTCCGGAGAGATATCAGTGTACGATGTCCGGACGGACGAGCGACTCATGCGGATGGCTATGCAGGACGGAGGAATCAGGGCATTGTCCTTTCGCAGTGGTCCGTTCCTTTTAGGTTGCTTTGAATAAGGTAAACTGAATATGACGAACAGATGGACAGCCTATTCTGGCCTCAGCATCTTCAACAGGTCATATTGCACTTTGGGACCTGAATGCGGGCGGGCGCCTTCTTCATCTGGTTCGCGGTGCACACGATGGTGCGGTAACTGCAGTAGAATGGGTGCCGGGACAACCTGTTCTCATCAGTTCCGGAGAGGACAACAGCGTGAAGGTTGTTACCTCCCTCTTTTTACTCTAATTGTTCTCGTCTGATCTGTTTCTTCAGCAATGGCTGTTTGATTCACCCACTACGGCACCTCGCTTGCTGAAGTTTCGTTCCGGCCATCACGCACCCCCACATCTCATTCGATATTACGGCGAAGATGGTAAGCAGATATTGACAGCGTCGAGGGATCGCAGTTTGCGGTGTACAAGTGTTGTACGGGACTCGAGGAGTTTCGAGTTTAGTCAAGGTAGGCTCTTCCTGACTGGCTGGCAGTTGATTTGCCCATGCTGATACCTCCTTTTTGACAGGCTCACTAGTAAAGAAGGCAACAAGTCTCTCGATCCCCATCACGTCTCTGAAGATCCCACCCGTCGCAGCCCTTTCTTACTCTTCGACGCGGATGAAGGACTGGGACGACATCCTCACCGCCCACCATGAAGAAACATTTGCTCGTACCTGGACCATGAAGGACAAGAAGCTGGGTAAGCACACGTTTGGCTTCCCCAGCGAGGGCAAGAAAACGAGCACCGTGGGCTCGGTGAAGGTATCTACAATCACCACAGCAATTGTGAAAATTCGCGCTTATTTGTGTTCCGCGCTCCCAGGCAGTATGCGTCTCGGCCTGCGGCAACTTCGGTATCGCGTCGTCTTCGACCGGTGCGATCCATATGCATAATATGCAGTCTGGGATCCACCGCAAAACGTTCAACGTCGGCCCTTGTCCACCAGAGGTATCTAGTAGGTTCCGCCCGTCGGTATCATCAAAGAAAAAACAGGAAGAGCGATGTGTCACCGGGCTGGCGTGTGACGCCCTCAATACTGTCGTGGTCGCCAGTACTTTGGATGGGACGCTTAACGTACATCTTTTGTTTGCCTGGCTGTGCGCGACCGTTACTTACCGTATGCTTCGCTGATTAGTTCTTCGACTTCCACACGGCCAAGCTTGAGGAAACATTAGTTCTTCCCTCCTCCGCCGTGTCTATCACTCTGCACCGTGACAATGGTCTTCTGGCCGTAATATGCGATGATCTAATGGTGCGCGTAGTAGACATCGAGACGCGGCGGATAGTAAGAGAACTGGGCGGCTTCCGCGGCCGAGTGCTGGATCTCGTACGTTGCTCTGCGCTGGTTCTGAACGTAAAACCTGACCGACGCGTTGTAGACGTTCTCCCCGGACTCGAGATGGCTCGTGACGACTTCCCTAGACTCCATCATACGCACTTTCGACGTTCCTACGGGTCGGCTCATCGATGCGTTCAAGACATCAAGCGTAGCAACTAGTGTGACGTTCTCTCCCACAAACGACTTTCTGGCTACCGCACACGTCGATAATGTCGGTGTATATCTCTGGTGGGTGTCCACGTCTACGTGGCTGAGGTGCTTATCTGGACGCGTCGTGTATACCTGCATCTAGGGCAAATCGTGCTCAATACTCTGAAGTTTCGTTCCATGGCATCGTGGATAACGGTGATGTTGTGGGAGTGTCTCTACCCTCCATGCAAGGAGTAGCAGAAGACGAAGGTAATAACATAGTCGTTAATCTTCTCCGAAAGTCTGCTGACTCCTGTCCTAGCGCTCGAAGCGCTAGGGAACCTCGATCTCAACGTACACGAGGATGTTGCTGATGCTTCCGTCGTTCCTCCCAATCTTGACGGCGACCTTGTGACGCTGACGTTACTACCGCGTTCCCGTTGGCAGGCACTACTCCATTTCGATGTCATTCAGGTATGGACTATTTGCCCTGCAGTGATCTACCAATGTCTAACGGGGGGTTGCCTAGCAACGCAACAAACCAGTAGAACCTCCAAAGGAGCCGGAGAGAGCTCCCTTCTTCCTGCCAACGCTGCCCGGTGTTGAACACAGGTTCGCGGTAGAGCCAGAGGTCAAGGATGACAAGAGCAAAAAGTCGACAAAGCGGCTTCAGAAAGCTGCAGCGTCCAGCGAGAGTGTCTTCTTCAAGAAGCTCGCTGTTGAAGACGTCGAGGGCGATTGTATGTTCTTTAGCCTTCAATCACAATGCGCCAGGGGACTGAGACATCCTTTTGTAACAGTCGAAGAGTTCTTCGCCTACGCAAAGGCATTGTCGCCAGCCGCCATGGACCTGGAGCTCCAATCTCTCATCACATTAGATGCCTTGCGAATGTTCCTGACGGCGCTCACCTGCCGCTTACGATCACATCGTGATTTCGAGGCGGTGCAGACGTACCAAAATGTGTTCCTGCGCATGCATGGGGACGTCCTAGCGGAGAATCCAGAGTTAATGGGGGAACTGGAGACCCTGCAGGAGGTGCAGCGACGGGAGAGTGAGAAACTGCTGGAGCTGCTCGCTTCGTCGCTGGGGACGCTGAGCTTTGTGCGAGACACGCTGTAACGAGTCGTACGTGTATGTTTGTGTTGTTGCAGTATTCGAACATCCGCGCTGGCTAGAGTCGATGCGCAGAAGAATGGACCCTTTGTCCCGAATTGTTTGGCGCTTGGAGTCAACGCGCCACGCTTGTGGCCACCATCACAATTGACCTTGACGTTCACCTTCCTGTAACAGCCTCCTGCGATACAGGCAACCCTGCAGTCCATCTGCTAACCTGGCACTCAATTTGACGGCCCTTGGTCCTCACGAACTGGCCCACTCACAAGATGGCTCTTGCGATCATCACAAACAGGGATTCCAATGTCTGCAGAACATCTCCCATCGTTATTTCTTCTCCCGTCTCCAAGCACAAACAACTCCCGAACGAGATATGGCTCGAAATATTCTCATACGCGACCTTCATACCTGGAGCTTTCACCTGCAACGGTGGCAGCGCCATAACATCTTACGCGAGGGACGACTACGGAATCAGCCTACACCGTCGCTTCCGCGAGTCCATGGATCTCAAGCTCACAATATGTCTTGTATGCCGGATCTGGCGTTCGCTTGGTATCGAGTATCTCTTCCAGTACTTACTGGTCACAAGCGGTGATCAGGCTGTACGTGTCGCGGCTGCACTGGAGCATCATAACTCCACCTCGGAGAAGGCGCACGAACCCGGATGGTGGACAGCCCGCCTCGACCTTGCGCTGGACGGCACGCACGTGTGGACGAACAAACATTCTCGGGCCCTTACCTACATCTTTCGAAACTGCCAGAAGTTGGCGGTGGTCTCTACCGCCTTCTGTTCGCCTTGTCCACGATTCACCCAAGCACCTTCGTTCGCGAGAGCATTCTCAGAACTCGCTACGCACCAAGGCTTGCGGAGACTCGAGCTCATGGGTAGCATCGCGTTCTTCGACGCCGTGATCCCGCTGGTATCTGCGCGGCTCGAAGTCCTTTGGCTGCGTCCTTCCTCCCCTTGTGTCGCCGACGCCCGCAAGCGAGTACAGAAGTGCCAATTTCCGAGGCTTCATTCCTTTATCTTGTCCTCGGCAACTCAGGCCTCCAATCTGCTCGCATCTTTCGAGATGCCCTTTCTGGAGACACTGGTTGTCCAAGACACCGAGCCCGCGGAGCTGCCACACGTTCTGCGAGGGTTTCTTGAGCGCAACGGGCATCGAATGCGCCGTTTTGTCGCTTCTGGCTGGTTCAGCGCATTCGCCGAGCTGTGTTGCAGTATCACGGACTACGAACTCCCCTCGAACGCTGTCGCCACGCTCTCTAGATCCGGCCTGCATTCTTCTATCAAGTCTCTCACGTTGTCGGGACAAAAAGACCTGGCCAGTCTACTCGAGCTTGTCGCCGGTGACGCACTCCCTACGCTGGAACTCGTCCGTTTCCTCTTGCCATTCCAGTACCGCGACCTCGCTACTCCGCTAGCGGAGCAGTTTCTGCTCATGTGCAAGCGATGCGGCATCTGCGTCGAGATATCCGTCGGAGGCGATGAACAGACGGCTGATGTCTGGCATTGCCTTGTTATGTCGGGAGACGTGCTTTAAAGAAAATTGTAAGTGAATATTAATTCTACATCGATCTCCATTCGTGATACTCACGTACCTGCGACTCCTGTAATACTTTGTCGGCACTAGGATGCATGTAGTACATCATGAACAGGAGTTGGGAAGACGGAGTGTAGTGGTTGTTGGTCACCTTGTACATCGACTGAAAATTGTTGGGAATGTTCTCTTGTAGTCAAAGGTCGTACTAATAATTATTCGTTGGTTTACCATTTTTGTAGACGAACTTTAGTCGATGTATAAGTACCCATGCGCTTCAGAAGAAGAAGCTTCTACATTGGGTTCCCGAAGGAGATATACCAATGGAAAAACCCCGTTTCTCGACCAAGTAGTCCTTAGGCACTCCAAAAATGAATGCCAAGAGCGTGGATTGAACACGCGACCTCCAGAATTCTTCGACCAGGATTTGGAAGCCGGAACTTCAGTCTGTTGCTCTCCCAGCTGAGCTATCTCGGCCCCTCTATAATTTATCATGACTTTACTTACTATCATATACCGATCAGTGTTTGACTTGCTTTGACAATTTCCACTCAAGCAGAAAGACTTTCATCCAAGCGCTCTTAAGAATTATCTTATGTACCATCTTGTGGAAAGTCCTTCCAAGAATTACTAATGAATACAGAACTGATACCACCGGCCTGCACGTCGACAGATCCCGGGCCAACGAGAGAAGAATAGAGAATTCCCTTATGGCTCATCGCTGAGCTCCCCCTCCTCTTTCTCCTCCTGCAGCGGTATGGATGACGGTCCGACTGGGGCAGGCTTCGTGCCATCCATAGCCACGTTGGCTCTTTCAACGTGTTGCTCTGCAAGTGGATCTTGAATGCTCTCAGGTATAGCAGCGGGTCCCTGCCTGCCGCGAGATTCGCCCTCTTCCTCTCTTCCCTCTGCGCTGTTGCTCTTGTCTGACTTCTCCGACGCCGCGTCCTGCGCCCGCGCCTCTGCCCTAGCACCGCGTCCCTTCCGCGTGTTCGCGGCTATGGACACGGACACGGACGTCGTAGTTGTCTCGCTCGCACTGGAGTTCCGCCTTCTGCTTCTGCTCGCCGGAGCCCGTGCCTTCCTCGACCGCGACGTGCGTTTTGGCTCCACAGGGGGTAGTGGCTCCACATGTGCCTCCTCCGTCTCCACAGCCTCGACGGGGGTAGGCACCTCCACAGCGCTCTCAACATCCTGTGTGGCCACCGCCGCGCTCACGAGTGGCGACGCGACCGACGGGGTCGAGTTGGCCCCGCGGCGTGGGTTCCGCGTGCGCTTCGCGGGCGGCGGGTACACCCCGTCCACCTCATCTACCTCCTTCCTCTTCCGCTTCGTGCCCCCAGCGCGCCGCTTGCGCGGGCTTCCCGTGCGATCGCGCCCGCCCGCCTCGCGCTCTGGCATTTGCGTGGGCGCAGTGGCCTGCGGTGCATTTCGTTCGTCGTCACCCCGGTTGCGATCGCGCACCTTCGCTGCGGGTCTCCGGGAACGGGAAGACGCGCGGCGGGAGTGCGGGCTGTCATCGTCATCCACTGTGAGCGAGTTTGGGAGGCCGAAGAGCGCCGGATCAAGTTCGGGGAGGGAGAGTGCGAGGGGACCGAGGGGGTGGTAGAGCGGCAGGGGTGGTGCCTTGCGGGGCCTTACCGCGCGTGCGCAGGCAGCGAGATGCTCTGCAGCAACAAGGCCTGAGTCGGATAAGAGTGAGATGGTTCCCGGGCGCACTAGTACTTTCGGGTGCGCCTTGGGCGCTTGTGGAGAGACGGCTGGATTGCGCACGTGAGGAGATGGACGTTCGGGCGTGCGGCGGTCCTCACCTTGTATAGGCGCGTCGACCACTGACAATGACACCGTTGGAGACTTGAAAGTGTACAGGGGTTTCCTTCGGATCGCCGAGGACGCCATGATGGGTTTCCGAACTGCGGAAGATGACAATAGTTGTTAACAGGTTGTTCGGAAAAACAAGTGGGGTAGTCATACGTACTTCTATTGGTTGTTTCGGATGGAATCACGGTCGTCTGGCGAAGCTTTGGTGAATATGTCTGCTTCTGTAGTGAGCGTGTCGTCCATGGGCACTACCAGTGACTGCAATAGCTCGCCGAAGACACTTACTCGGTCTACGTCCACTACAAAGAGGTGTTCCCCCACAAACCAACCCGTGTCTTGTCACACGCGCGTACCCAGTCTCCAGATACAAACCACACGCGATTTGAATGGCGCGTGCGTTATCCCTTTATGTTCGCTACGCGCCGCGGAAGGCTTCGCATTATGCTCGGGAGAGGATATAAAAGATGTGAAGACGTACATAAGCCGTTAGGGTGTTCAGAATGGCTCAGAGGTATGTCTGGCTGAGGCTGAGGGCGGGTGTCCGACGGCAAAGTGGAAGGAGAGAATGAGGACAGGCTGAGAGTGTCGGGCCCGGTCCACCCCAGGCCGTCGCCACGTGGTTATCTTATCTTATCTAAAGTGCTGAGATCCGCCACTGCCGCCGGCGCGGCAAGTAGTACTATGTACAACTTTAACCGTGACTCTCACTTGACAATTGCAGTGCTTCATCGAGATGCCCAGGAGGTAGAGATAATATCACATACCCCCTGGAACATGGTGATTCAAGCTCTCTAAGGTGTCAATGATTATAAACAGGTTTACATCATCAGAGAAGTGGACTCACAAGCCGAGTCTGACCCCGCAAAGATGAACCTGGGATCTGCGCCCTTGACCCCGCCCGAGCCCGTCCCGGCCTGTCTTCTCTGACATCAGCGTTCAAACGCGACGTCAAGTAGTGAGTATTCATCTACTCGATGCTTCAACATACTCACATTAATATTGCCCCAAGCAGGGGTTACAAGTCTACTACACTTTGGGTGCATAATGTGCAATGGTACCTCCCAAGCCCGCGCTCTCATTCTGGTGCATCAGGACTTCAACCGCGCTTCTTCAGGCGTACTTACATCTCCCGGCCAACCCGGAGTTTAGGGCTCTATGCTTAGGTATCCCTTCAATCGGACAGTCATGACACACTATCGTGGTGTATCCCTGTGTCTCTCCGACCTCACAAATACTCCGGATCGGGTGTTTGCAAATGAGGTTGAATTTTCTCCTATACCGCGAAGAAGCACCTCCAGAATTCGGAGTCACGTTCAACGAACTCGACTACCATCTATAAAAAGCTCACATCCCCCTCGTATTCCCAGCATCTCCCTCGCAGTCCACGTATCCCTGAGTGAACTGCTCTATGTCCTCTCCGGCTAAGAAAGTATGGTTCAGTGAGTGCCGTGTGCTCTCTCTTGGTGCCACACTACTCACTACGACCATTCGGCAGTCACCGGCTCATCCTCAGGGTTCGGCCGTGCCATGGCTGAGCGTGTGCTCCAGAAAGGAGACATTGCCGTCGCGACTCTGCGAAACCCCACCGTGCTCACTTCGCTCGAGAAACAGTATCCTTCTTCCCAGCTCCTTGTGCTTAAGCTGGACGTGAGCAAGCCCGAAGACATAACCATCGCCTTCGACGCCGCACGTCTCGCCTTCGGGCGCATCGACGTCGTCTTCAACAACGCCGCGTACGGCATGGTGAGTGAAGTCGAGGGAACACCGGATGCGGATGTCCGTGCGATGTTCGAGGTGAACTTCTGGGGCGCTGCGAACGTCGCGCGCGCGGCCGTTGCGTTCTTCCGCGACGTGAACAACCCGCAGGGAGGCCGATTGCTCCAGATCAGCTCTATGGCTGGTATTGAGGGCAGCCCCGGTATCGGATACTACAGCGCGAGCAAATTCGGTATGTCGGCTCGCAGACCTACTCTGTAGGACGTTCTCTCACATTTTGGTGCAGCGTTTGAAGGACTCAGCGAAGCTCTTGCTGCAGAACTCGACCCGGAGTGGAACATCAAGGTACACGATTGTTCGTCTCGCTTCCTCGCAGGACATCGACTTAAAATGCTACCTAGGTCACTATTGTTGAGCCAGGAGCTTTCCACACGGACGGCGTGTCTCGCTCGTCTGTCATCATTCCCCCGCACCCGGCATATGCCAAACCCAGCCTGATGAGCTCCATCGTCCGCCAGTGGCTCGCCCCACTCCCGGTTCTTCCTGGTGACACGGCAAAGGCTACGGAGCTTTTCTACAAGCTGACCACGCTCCCCGACCCGCCGCTACATCTCCCGCTGGCCAAAGATTCACTTACGCTTGTTAAGCGCAAGACTGCGAACCTCCTTGCGGATGTGGCGAAATACGAGTCGTGGTCTGAAAAGATCGAGCGCGACGATGTGCAGTGAGAGATGGCGGGCAGGTCAGGGTTTTCAGGCGGGGAAACACGTCTATAAAGCAATGTTCTGTATGGAATCAAGCCCCGGATATATATCATGTGAACTACCTTGTTATACTAGCGCTCATGAGTAAAAAAGAATCGGCCGGAAGACCAAAATATGTGTAAAGGCTTTCCGTCAAATGCGCGGACGGTGAACAGGCTGTTCTACCGCAATTAAGGTGGCTTACAGTCCTGTATATATATGCACATACAGTGTTTCTTGGTTTTATCCAATTTGATTTGGGCCCTAGTTGCGGTGAGTACAGCATGTCCTCCGATTCCACATTCTATGACGAGTTGGGTGAATCCATAATACATGGGTATGAAGTGATCTATCGACAGCAACTGTATTCCAGTACAAACCGAGCACGAGCGTAACTTACAAAGCAGTAGGGAAGAGAGCCAGCTATGAGTCTTGAACCGCAAACGGATGTCTCACAAGTTCATCATAAAGGTCGGTTGGAAGATCGCGAACAAGTGTGACCGCAATACCGATCACCGGAAGAGCCTCGAGTGGTGGGAAAGTCCGCAATAGTCTCATCGGACTGGGTAGAATACCATAGTCTCAGACATACAATCGATGTCTCATGATAGTTGCGTTACATACCTGGATGAGTTCATGACCTCGTCGCGCATCAGCAACAATTGTGCGATAACACAGAGCACATTGAGGTGTACACCGAATGCAAGTAAGAAATCCCACAACTGCAATACTTGGTCCAGAGGTGGTGTACACGCACACAACGTTAGGACAGCTGGAAAGAGTCGATATCAACTGATGCGGCAGGACAGTAGACAGACATACAAGGAAAAGCGTATATTTCCGCGGACAAATTCTTTGATCGCAGAAAGGCGAAGAGGTCCGGATCGACAATCTTCAGACATCGGTCCAATAGCTAGGTTACAAGAAGGTCAGTTCAGCCTCCTCCAGGACACAACAGGATATGACGGCTCACTTTGAGGCCACGATGTACTCCTTCGAGAGTTGGCTGAACATAGAGCGGACAAGACTCTTCAATAAATTTGGCAAAGCAGAAGAAAGCTTCAAGCTCAGAAGGCATGGTGTACAGGAATGGTGCAGCGAGCACATTCATGCCTTGTACATATGTAAATCCGAGCTGATGCGATTCTTGTCGATCTGCAGGAAGAAGAGGGAGGTAAACGTGGGCAAGAGTAAATA